GTCTCGCCGACAACGACACGCCCGTCCGCCTCGCGCTTCCAAGGCCCTCAGCGTCATCACGCTCAAGCTCAACCCCGACATGGCCGACGAGGTGGTCGATGCCGTCCTCGATGCCCTCAACCGCAACGTCCTCTGGGCCGTCTCCGCCATCGGCACCGCCGAGCCCGTCCGCGACCTGTCCGCCGTCGACCCCCTCGAGTGGCACGGCCTCACCCTGACCTTGTCCCACCTCCTCTACCGCCGGTCCCCGCCCGCCCGCCAGCTGCCCGCCATCATCGCCGCGCTCTTGCTGGCCCTCGCCTTTGAGAAGCGCAGCACCTCCGGCAGCTCCGTTGGCGCCAACGTCCGCGACGCCGCCTGCTTCGGCATCTGGGCCCTCGCGCGCCGCTACACCACCGCCGAGCTGCTGGCCGTCCCCACCGGCGAAACGACTTCTTTTTCTTCTTCTTCTTCTTCTTCTTCTTTCCCCCCCTCCATCCTCCAGCGTCTCGCCACCGAGCTGACCGTGACGGCGTCCCTCGACCCCGCCGGCAATATCCGCCGCGGCGCCTCCGCCGCCCTCCAGGAGCTCATCGGCCGCCACCCCGACACCGTCGACAAGGGCATCTGGCTCGTCCAGACCGTCGACTACCACGCCGTCGCCCTGCGCGCCCGCGCCCTCCACGAAGGCGCCCTCAAGGCTGCCAAGCTGAGTCCCGTCTACGGCCGCGCCCTCCTGCGGGGCCTCCTCGACTGGCGCGGCGTCGGCGATCCGGACGCCGGTGCCAGGCGCGTTGCCGGCGCCTCCTTTGGCACGCTGACGCGCGAGCTGTCGAGCGGCCAAGAGAAGAAACGCACGCAGTTCCAAGTCTCGGCCAAGATGGTGCTCGAGCGACTCAGCGGCCTGCAGAACAGACAGGTCGAGGAGCGGCATGGCCTGCTCCTCTGCCTGGCATCCGTGCTCGACAAGTTTCCGAGCCTCGTCGGCGCGCCGGAGGACGGGCTTTCTGCCGACGATGTGTCCGTCGCGCAGCGCGTCGTGCGCGAGGGGACCGACATACTTCAGGGCGGTCAACCAGGGCGACCTACCGTCGTCCAGAACTCGTTGCTGGAGGCCGCGAACCGCTCATCATCGCTTCGCTGCCGTGCTGCAGGCGCGGGCCTCGGCGCTGCTGCTAACACGACGCCGACCGGCCTGCAGCTGCTCCGCCCGGCTTCGAGATCGTGTCACCGGACAGCACGCAAGATTTGCTCCAAATCGTCGCCGCCGTTGACGCCCTGCCAGAGATCCCGAGTCAAGTGAAAGCACTCGTCCGCCATTTCGAAGCCACCATCTCGGCAGGTCTCAGCCGCCCCGAAAAGTCTGCCATCGCCGCCGCCGCGGAAGCGGCCCTCGTGCTCCTTGCCTTCTCAGAACCCGCAGAGCGAAACCGCATCGTCACGCAGTGGGCCGCGACGACTCGCCAGAAGCCAACATCCCGGACAACCTCGGACCACGGCTACTTTGCAGCCCTGACCATGGCCCACCCCCTGACAACAACGGCGACCAGGGGTTGCACTTCCGACACTGCCGACACTCCCGAAAGCGATATGACCACGGACGCCATCCTGTCGCGCTGGGCGAGCGACAAGGACATTGACACGAGGGTGGCCATCCTGCAGAGCCTCACAGAGAGCGTCGTGCTGCAAGACGGCGCCCCGGCATTCCTTGACCTGCTGGCTCAGGGCCTCAACGACTACACAACTACTGCGCGGGGCGATGTAGGCTCGCATGTGCGATTGGGCGCTTTGCGCGCAACAAGGTGCATCTGGCGTTCGCTGCAGTCGGGCGGCTCTACGCGACAGCAAGAGTGCTTAAGGGCTGCCGTGTCGAAGCTCTACCTCAACGTTCTGCGCCTGGCCACGGAGAAACTGGATCGCGTCCGAACCGAGGCACAAGCCGTGCTGTCGCTTACCTTGACGCCCAGGTCCGTCATATCTCACCATCCTTATCTCATGGTCACTGACACATTCTATAGCTACGCTGTGTGGTTCAATAAGCTTACGTTTTCATCACGCACCTATCTCCTTGCACTGTTGACTCTCTACGCGCAAGATGAATACATCCACCCTTTGATCATGGAACAAGCCAGGGCCGACCCCGGTGCGTGGATGGCAGAGCTCCTCGCGGGCTATGTCACTTCTGCGGACACGGGCAACGAGGACCTTGTCATCGCGGCGCGTGCCGCTCTCACCGAGTACTGCAGCATCGCGCCAGCTAATCGAGATGATGTGTGCATAGCTCTTGTTCGTAACCTATCGTCGCGGCAAGGCCAGGACAGGGTATTAGTGCCGACACTGGAAATCGTCGCGTTTCTATACCGTGCGGGTTTATTTGCCGGGTGCCGGGGCGTCGATCCCAAGAGGCTTTGTCTCCTGGTGCAGAAGGCAGGGTATAAGACGGGGAGCATCCGGAAGCTGGAGGCCTGTATACACGTGTACGGCTGTGTTGCCATGTTCGAGGATCACGCAGAGGCTGCGGCGCGAGAAGCGCGGAAGCGGCTGGGAGCCCTTATGTTCCATCCCTGGCCGCGAGTCCGGAGTCTGGTCGTTGACGAATTATGGCAGCTGTTTTGTAACGATGAGGCTGGGTCCAGGCTCAAGAGTGTAGACTGGGGCCGGGCGGACAAGGGGGCCATCAGAAGCGTCGTGTCAGTGCTTGGTCTCGCCTAACAATGTTGTCGCAGTAAGACTTCGAAACCGACAGGGAGAAGATGCATCGAGAAAGCATGGAAGAAGCCAAATCAGTGATACAAATTGTCAAGTGGCGTCACTCCCGCGTGCTGGCGCAGCCTCTTGTCTCGTCTTGTTGCTGAAGCGCATTGTGTGGCGCCCCGTCTAGACATGCCTCTCCCTCGTTAGTTGGCTTACTACAACATCTGCGACAATCGTAGAAAGTTTTGCTGTCGATCCTTCGAGCTAGCTGTCTGCTCATTCACAGCCAAAGATGGGGTGAGGATGCTCGGTCCCGATGGCGAGCTCTGTCGCGACACCTAGCTGCAGCATGTCGTCGTTGGCCTTCCCATACAGGAAGGTCATCAGCAGCGATGGCCCACGACCCCCACTAGGGGACGGGAAGATCAGCAGGGTCTCCTCATGGTGGTGAGGAGGCTAGGAACAATACAGAAAAAAGCAAGCGGATGATGCTTCAGTCACTTGGGGGTGGGACCGAAGGACGGGATGTGAGAGTGCGAAGTCGCCCCCGACTTGCAGGATGGTTGTGATGCCACATCGCGCTCTGATAGTCAGAGTTAAAGCGACACCCAAGGGAGGTTTAAAGGGTGATCAAAGAGCTCGGCATCCAGCGGCTGCTCAGCATTTGAGAGTGCCGTGTGCTGAACTTGAAGCAACAGTGACGCAGACGACAGTAGAGCGCTCATCCTCGGAATGGGGCATCAGAGATCGTCGATGTGCCGAAGTTTCCATTCCACCAGCTGCCACCACCACCGGGGCGTTGAAGCTGCTCCAACAACCTTTTCGATGTTGCCTCACATAGCGCCGCCGTACAATGCGAATGATGCCATGGCGCACCTCATGCAGGGGGGGAGCAGGACACGGCAAGTTCTTGGCGGATGCAGGGCGATAGAGGCATTTGCCGGCAGAGAGTATTGCATTCACAACGAGGCTGATCGTGATGCAGGAGGTGGCTGGTTCACAGGGCCAGGGTACCGGGACCTTTTGCTGGCTCATGCTCAGAAGCTCGTTGCTGTTTCTTATGAACGTCTGCCTGTCAGCCAATCTGGCAGCCTGTCACCTGGGACGCAGTAGATGCGACTGCGTGGTGTGACTGGACCTCGAATGTCACCGGCGGCTTTGGGCTCTCATTCGGCTACTGGTGTTTGGGCTTCGCGAGGCTCGAGCGGCAGCATAAGGTTCAGGAATCGACCTGGTGCGTGATGGGTGTCTTGAGGCGCCTCGTTCTCGGAAGGCAGTTGAGCTCGACTTGGGTGCGGCGATCGGACTCTGTCGAACGTGAACTTAAATCAATTCAAAAAATTCCACGGAGATGCCATGTTTTGGGGACGAGATGGGATTCATCAAGTGTGTCACTTCGCAGCAGAGACATTGCGGATGGCGAGATGGCATTCAACAGGTACGACGAGGTACTTTGGTGGTCGGCTGTGGTGCCGCTAATGGAGAGGCAGGGGTACCTCGATTGAGGGGAAAGGGTGGCCCAACCAGCGTGGTCTTGCCGTAAATTTTTGGGGGCTGTACGGGAAGAAGGGACTACCCGGCGGCCAATCCAGGCAGGCGCGACACTCAATTGGCAGGCTGTCAGACACTCTTTGGGCAGTCAGCTTCCGAGGACGTGAGTCTTTTTGGTGGGGAGAGAGGGCGTTGAGCCAGCGCACAGGTGCGAACGGGAAAGAGCTGCCGCTTGTTTGCCTGGCAGGTGCTCCCATGGCATCTCTCGCTCAAGACTCAACACAGTCCAACAGTCAGCCACCCAGATAACAGGTATGGGCCTTTCCCAGGTTCCCCCTCCCCCTTGGCGTGTGGGCATCACCCAGGTAGAGAAATCATGGCGTGCTCACGTTGCACTGCAAGCCACCGTCTCCAGGAAATGAATCGGACAAGCTTCTGTCTGGGGGAGCCTCTCACATGCAAGCGAGAGACAGATGCGCGCTTTTCCCCTTCTTGCCAAACCCAAACGACCCAAGCGAACGAAGGAGCATGTCGCGTGATCACAGCGGTGTGTGTGGCAGGTAGGCAGGCAGGCAAGGCAGGCAGCACCAAAGGAGCAGGCAGGAAGATAGACAGGCGGACGCAGGCAGGAACAGGGGACCAGGAGTGGAGGCAAGCGCGACGACATCGGCAGCGAAATGAACAGAGCACCAGCTGGTCCTTGTTCCCCCCAAACCAAAGCACGACACCGCCCAGAGCTCGTGTTTTCCCTGCTATGACTGGTCAGATAGATCAGAGGAGGTGGAGACACAGTCTGCAGTCGTCTGCACATGGCTGGGGTAACAGTAGGAGGAGGTCCCCTGCCCCATCGCCTGCGGTGCCATTCGCTGACGCCTCCATGGCAGTTCTCGACAGAGGCCCGAGGCTGGCTCCAGCGCCTCTGGCGTCCTGCCAAGTTGGCGGGGGATGGTCTTGTGCTCAGCCCGTCTTCAACAGCGTGTGACTGGCAACGATGAATGCACTGTACGAAAGACCCTGCCGTTTATCCCCCCTGCCGCTCCTCCCCTCTCCGCCATGCCACGCCATATGCCTCCATCCCCATCTTCTGCACGCCGTCCACCCACCAACACCCATCGTCCTACGAAAGTCCTTCCCTCCTAGTCTTCCTCCCTGCTGAGACACTGGGAGTCCCTGACGCTACTGTCGATTCATCTCCAAGCTGTGTGTTCTTCATCATCGCCTTCGCAGGCCAATCGACTCTGCTGGTCTTCAGTCAGATACATGCACCGACTGTTGCCCTCAGCGAGCCGTCGGCAAACTGAACGAATCTCATAGTGGTTCGCAGCAACTAACTGCTCCTGGGCGCTACGCTGCAGACCGACCCCCAAACTAGGATCAACGCAGCCAACCCAATCTTCCCCCTTCGAACCGCCGGATCACCTTGCATGGTAGCAGAGTCTAAAAGCAGGTCGCGCAGCTTGGCTTTTCACCTTCGCTAGTCCCTTAGTGTTATGTGCCGCTTGGTCGGGCTTCATTGGCAAGCATCGAGCGTCGCCTCACCACCAAAGTCACGGACCTGACACGATGGTCCGTGAAGTGTCAGCGTGGCAAGGCGTGCTGGAAACACGAAGCAGTACAGCATGGTCGTAAGGAAAACTTGCAGCTCAGCCTTTGGGTGTTCCCCTTCCTTCTCGTCCTCCCCCACGGTCATCGTCGCCGCGTGAACCGACATCGGATCCCACTCAGCTCTAGAACGGGGGGTTCCCCTGTCAGATCCTCGCTGCCATTCTGCTACCTGTTGGCCAGTGTGCCCGCCCACCTCGGTCTATGTATCCTCGGCGCCGTCTTCGTCAGTACCCGTCAGTCATCTCGGGCAACTTGCCATCTCATCGCGGTAACCACAGTACTGTTTCCCACTCTTGTCACAGTTGATTGCTTTCAAGAGCTTTTCCGCCGGTTCCTCGGCACATAGCCTCACCCACAAGGCAGACGACGTACATGCCTCACAGCATCTCCCTTTCTGCCCGACCGTCTTTCGCACACTGTTCACTGTCGCCCGCAGTGATTCGGACCCGTCCTTCGACCTGAAAGAGGCAAAGTTCCCTCTCTGCACTGCACAGATACGGGGACCCTAGTACCCAAGTGATCAAGCCTAGGTCGGCGGGGACACCACGCGCAGACAGGTGAGGCAGATGGCCAAGTGGATATCGAGGGGGGCAGGGGGGTGTCTCCAGTCGGTCGTCAACGGGCGCTCCACCAATCTTGTCAACGCTGGCCTGTCTCCTTCCGCCACCTTATCTGTGGTCGTTGAGGTCCTGGCCCTGGTCCTGGTTCTGGTTGGGCCCGCCGCCGAAGGGTTAGTTGACGGCTCTGCCTCGGGCTCGACACCAAGCAAAGAGAGGACCGACGGAGAAACGAGATGTCGAGTCCCTGTCAGTAAAATCGACTCGTCGGAGAAGAGGGGTCAATCGAGCAGCACTGGGCATCATCCGCTTCTGAGCTCGACGAATCGCGTCTGGTCGAATTCCCAGAATTCCTTAAGGGCCAAGACGTCCGCCTCCACTGATACGCATCGCTGGGAATGAGGACGTGCGGTGTTTGCCTGCCTAGCATATCTTACCTCTGGCACCAAGGCGACGCCTACAGCGGATCGGCCACTACCTATCTGCCTTGCCGTAGATACCGCAGACATAGACGCACAGAGAGAGGACCACCAACACACAGACTGCCTGACCAACCGCCCACTTTCTTATCTGTCATCCGGTCTCTGCCGTTTGACATGCCAGCACCAAAATAAAGGTTCCGCCCGTCACTAACTCCTAGCCCGCCTTCTGAGATGTGGTTGATTTCTCGAGATGGACTGGACTGGCCGCATTTGAGACTGAGCCCTCGTGGGTGGTGGTTCTTGTCGGCGGGCCTGGGCCTGGGCCTAGAATCTGCAGTCAGTCTCGTCATGCATGGTTGCTGTGCCCTCCATCTTTGCCTCTTCACGATACCTGTGTGTCGACCAAGACAATGTCGCGGGAAATGAGGCATGCAAAGCAGCCACATCGCGAGACAGCCTCGAAGAAGGTGTCTGTCGTCTACCGAATCTTATCGCACGCTGTGAAACACTCTGGCATTTGCTACTTCTACTGCCCACTGCTGCGGCATGTTGCTTCCTTATCGTCTCATCTTTCGAGTGCGCGGTCCGAATCCTTCGGGGCTTTATCTTGTTACTCTCGCACCGACGGCTGTTCATTTGCAATTGCCCACAGGTCGCGCTGAAAGATGCGCTCGTTGCGCACCAGGGAATTCCACGCGCACACCCTACCACCCAGATCCCACACACCCCTCTACTGACCCCCCTTCTTCTCGCCTCGGGGCCAATGGCTCGAGCTCCCCCCCCCGTCCCAAGTGACAGGGGTTTTTTTTGATGCCACAATCCTGCTGGA